CAGAGCACGGTGAGTATCGGTTAAGTGTGACCGATATGGAGCAGTGTCGATCACCAGTATCGGTCAAGTGTGATCGACACAAACACAACGGATAGACTTCGGTCTTATGTGTCGATCACTCCAGACCAATAGGGATCCATTTCGGTCACTCAAGACCGACACGACTGACCGATACTGACCCAGCCCGGACCTGTTCTTAATTACAACTATGCCATTACTCTAGGGTTTTCTTCTCTAGGCTATAAATAGCCCCTTTTTCCAGATTTTCGACATGTCTTGTCAAAATAGTGTTGTTGAGCATTTTCTTTAAGTTTGTAAGACAATTTCTTTGCTTTGTTTAATATAATCAAGTATTTGCTTTAATCTTTCTTTAATCATTCTTTTAATCATGATTAGCATCCTTTCCCTTTGTGATTTGGTGTTAAACATGATTATGAGTGAGTAGTTATCTTAGAGTTTCTAGATTTGGTAGATTAGGGGAATCTAAGACTTGATTAGGGCTTGTTATGTGCTTCAGTTTATGGGTTCCTCTCTATTAATCTGTTATTCATGCTAGATTAGTCTTGATCAAACTTGTCTAAGTTGTTAGCTTTCTCTGATGCCCACCAAGTGTTTGATGAAATGCTGATCATGTTTAATAGAGGATTTGCTGGCCTTGGCTCAAGAGATTGACTGTTTGAGGAGCATTTTGACTTAATTAGAGTTGCTTATTCTTGCTTGCTTGATGTTTTAGCTCTAATGAGAGTTAGTTCTTGTTATAATGTTTAGCAAAGGGTTATTTGCCAAGAAATTGGATCTAACTAGCTTAATTGTGAACTCTATGTCTAGGAATCCCCATTGCTTGCTTACTTGCTTGATCAATGTAGTTTGAAACAGCCTTAGTCAATGTCTGAAATTCCCCAAAGTCAATAACCACATCTAGGAACTTGCCTTTCTCTTATTTGAATCTCGGATTTGTTCTGTTTTGCTCTGTTTTACTCTGTTTTTCTTACTTAAAACTGCTTAGTTTGCTTTTGCTTTCACTTTGTTTGTTGCTTGTTTCACTTAGGTTGCTAGAACTGTTTCTTAGGCAACAAAACCAATTCTATGTTTGCTTGACTTAGAGACTTTACTCTCAACTCTTCTGTTTTCAACTCTTCCCATTGGATTGACATAAAACCCATACTACAGTACAACTGACTAGTACAAGTGTGAGGGTGATTGACATCAAGAGCCTGAAAAACTCATGTATCACTGATCATCAAAATTTCAAACCCTGAGAACATTCACTACAAGAAAACTGTTAATTAATGACTGCAAAATTAGTCGCTTATTTTGCAAATATGATATTTACGACTATTTTGTGACTAATCAGGGAAGTCACCAATCCTTAGTCGCAAAATCCAACAGTCGCATATTAGTCGTAAATTTGCGACAATCTTACGACTAATAAGCAAGTTCAATGTGTTGTCACTAGTTAGTCAGAAAATAGTCGTAAAAGGTAGTGACTAATTTGCGACTACCGTAGTGACCACTTGCCGACGATATTGCGACTAATTTGTTTTTAAAAGTACGACTAAAACGCGACTATTTTGCGATTAAGTTAACGACTTTATTGCGATAATTTAGCGACTAAACATAGTATGGATACAAAAAAATGGTAATTTTTAGCGACTATTATACCACAATTTTACAACTTTTTAGTGACTAATATATGACTAAATAGTGACTTATTTGTATATTAAATTTTGTATTTGGTAATTCTTTTGGTACTCAAATCTACAAAATTAGTAATTGTTTTGGTACTCGAATCTGCAATCTTAGAATAACTAATATACAAAATGCAAAATAATTTATATATACACAGTTATAAACCATTTTCTACAAACAAAACTCCAACAATGGAGTTATCAAAACATTAAAAACATTAAGTCTACAGATCAAAACTCCAACAGTGGAGTTACCAAAACATTAAGTCTTCAGTACAATACAAAGGTAGTCTTAAGTACAAAAACAGTGGAATAAGAAAGAACGAGAGAGGGATCTGTGTTTTGGGTCGAACCTGCACATGATGGAGCAGGTTGAGAAGCCATAAAGTCTACAAACTCAGGATTAGTCTCACGGAGAAACTGCTCCACCAATGACAAGCGCTTGATCTCATTTTGTTGCTCAGCCAATTGTCGGGAACTCTCTGCTTCATGCTGTGTATTATAAGCAGCTTGCTCTTCTATCTGACGTTTAGCTTCTTTTAGTTGTTGTTCGAACGTCATAAAGCATGAAGAGCTTTCCTTACGCTTGCCATTAACATGAGAATTATTGAGGCTACCATAGCCATAAGGACGTCCTCTTTCATCCCTGAAAGTGGACTGCCAAAAGAAAACAAGTTATAATGTAGAGTGTGTATGATAAATAACAGACTGAAAAGTCAAACCAGTTAGTGAAGAATGTATATTACCAGCAGAAATAGCTCGTTGTACTCGTCTATGGAGAGATCGCGACGTTGAGGATCACCATTCAAAGTTTCTGAATTATTTGCCTCCAGCTCGGACAACTTAGCTTTGACGTTGTTCTCATAAATTTCAGCGATGTTCTTGGCCTTTGCATCAACAAATGTTCCGTCCGGTCTTGTATGGGTCTTGATAAAAACCTCACCAATACTCACAGGTCTTCCTAACTCCTCCTCCTGAAAACATATAATGAAAAGACTTTAAATTAGCAGTGGTTAAAGATATAGAAATTGTAAGATATGTAAATGTAACTTACCATTTCCTGTTAGATTTGTAGATACGACATCTTCCCAGATAAATGTATGTGAGGACCAAGACCTTTGCGATCAGACAAACGAGCAGTAGAATAAGTTTTGCTCCTTTTTTTTGCTAATTCTGTGTCCCACTCGGTGCACATCATTGTCCAGAGTGGGGCCTCAATCCAAGTTGGTCGTTTACGGCTTCTGCGCACAGTGCTAACCATGCCCTTCATCCGGCGTTTACATATCTTCACGAACTCCCTTTGAACTGTCCCTGAGATTAGGGGATCCCACGTGTGGGTTTTCTACAATTTGAAGACATTAAATACATTAGTGAAAAAAATAGAAGCAAACACATATATAGGAAATTTAGAGGAGATAAACATTTACCGCGAACTCAACAAAGTATCTTTCTTGTCTATCCCGAGGCACAACTGTCCAACTATAATAGGAATCATCAAATTTGTTTGTAAAGACTTTAGTAATCTCTCGGACCAAGGACCCTTTGTCACGATCAAACCTTTAAACAAAGAAACAATATGTAAAAGTAAGCAAATAAGTGAATAAAAGAAACCAACTAACGAGACTATATCTTCAACTAAGCAAATAAGTAAGCACGTTCACCATTACACATTTTTATCAAATCTTCAACTATATCTTCGATGCCAAAAATTTAGACAACCAAAAACAAAAATACATAACACTTTAGCTTTAATTTTAACCAACCGTTTGATAAACTTTTTAATATACTACTGACCTCGTGATATTGCAACTACAAGAACCACATTATTTGTTTCACTAACAACAGACCATTTTGAAAGTTGAAATAACAGTAAAAAAAAGAGAAACCACACATTACTGAGAACAAACAAAGCCAAGTACTAAGATAACTATATCTATCTAATCAATGATGCTTAGCCTACAAAACAAATCAAATAGTTTTAACACTTAAACTACAGGACATACGCAGATAAGCGAAGAAGAGAATAACAAAAGCATACGCAGAGAAGTGAAGAAAATTTTGAGACGCAATAAAACTCAGACACAATCATCAATCACAGATTAATAATCTATGACTCAGAGTCGATTGCATAAAAACATTAAGACTCAACTATATCTTCGATGCAAAAATTTAGACAACCAAAAACAAAAATACATAACACTTTAGCTTTAATCTTAACCAACCGTTTGATGAGCTTTTTAATATACTACTGACCTCGTGATATTGCAACTACAAGAACCACATTATTTGTTTCACTAACAACAGACCATTTTGAAAGTTGAAATAACAGAAAAAAAAAGAAACCACACATTACTGAGAACAAACAAAGCCAAGTACTAAGATAACTATATCTATCTAAACAACGATGCTTAGCCTACAAACAAATCAAATAGTTTTAACACTTAAACTACAGGACATACGCAGATAAGCGAAGAAGAGAATAACAAAAGCATACGCAGAGAAGTGAAGAAAATTTTGAAAAGCAATAAAACTCAGACACAATCATCAATCACGGATTAATAATCTATGACTCAGAGTCAATTGCATAAAAACATTAAGACTCAACTATATCTTCGATGCCAAATATTTTAGACAACCAAAAAAAAAAATACATAACACTTTAGCTTTAATCTTAACCAACCGTTTGATGAGCTTTTTAATATACTACTGACCTCGTGATATTGCAAATACAAGAACCACATTATTTGTTTCACTAACAACAGACCATTTTGAAAGTTGAAATAAAAGTAAAAAGAAAGAGAAACCACACATTACTGAGAACAAACAAAGCCAAGTACTAAGATAACTATATCTATCTAATCAATGATGATTAGCCTACAAAACAAATCAAATAGTTTTAACACTTAAATTACAGGACTTACGCAGATAAGCGAAGAAGAGAATAACAAAAGCATACGCAGAGAAGTGAAGAAAATTTTGAGAAGCAATAAAACTCAGACACAATCATCAATCACCGATTAATAATCTATGACTCAGATTCGATTGCATAAAAATATTAAGACTCAACTATATCTTCGATGCCAAAAATTTAGACAACCAAAAACAAAAATACATAACACTTTAGCTTTAATCTTAACCAACCGTTTGATGAGCTTTTTAATATACTACTGACCTCGTGATATTGCAACTACAAGAACCACATTATTTGTTTCACTAACAACAGACCATTTTGAAAGTTGAATAACAGAAAAAAAGAGAAACCACACATTACTGAGAACAAACAAAGCCAAGTACTAAGATAATTATATCTAGCTAAACAACGATGCTTAGCCTACAAAACAAATCAAATAGTCTTAACACTTAACTACAGGACATACGCAGATAAGCGAAGAAGAGAATAACAAAAGCATACGCAGAGAAGTGAAGAAAATTTTGAGAAGCAATAAAACTCAGACACAATCATCAATCACAGATTAATAATCTATGACTCAAAGTCGATTGCATAAAAACATTAAGACTCAACTATATCTTCGATGCCAAATATTTAGACAACCAAAAACAAAAATACATAACACTTTAGCTTTAATCTTAACCAACCGTTTGATGAGCTTTTTAATATACTACTGACCTCGTGATATTGCAACTACAAGAACCACATTATTTGTTTCACTAACAACAGACCATTTTGAAAGTTGAAATAACAGAAAAAAAGAGAAACCACACATTACTGAGAACAAACAAAGCGAAGTACTAAGAATACTATATCTATCTAAACAACGATGCTTAGCCTCAAAACAAATCATATAGTTTTAACACTTAAACTACAGGACAAACGCATATAAGCGAAGAAGGGAATAACAAAAGCACAGCAGAGAAGTGAGAAAATTTTGGGAAGCAATAAAACTCAGACACAATCATCAATCACAGATTAATAATCTATGACTCAGAGTCGATTGCATAAAAACATTAAAACTCAAACTTATTAAGAGAAGAAAAGGGTGAAGAGTCATACCAAGTTGTGTTTGGCTTCTGTTCGGGAGATAGCACAGTGGTAAACTTTTCATGGCCTGGCACCAGAAGGATGGCATTCAACAGACGCTGTAGGTCTTCCTGGAGAACCAGCTCAGGTGGAGGTACTTCATCGTCGTCTTCACCATGGAAGTTGTGAGTTGCCGAAGATTGATTACTCTGAGCTTGAGAGTGATGATGTGTAGACGCTGGAGAGGGCTGAACTGGAGGCGAAGGAGAGTTCTGATTTTGAAGCGATGAGGAGGAGTTCCCGATTTCAGGTTGTTGTGATGGAGAATCATGGAAAAGTTGTTGGGGCGGAGGAAAGTCTCGGAAATGTGGTTGAGGTGAGTAGATGGGGACTTGAGGTTGGGGCATCTCGGTAACCGGAGGTTGGGATGATGGGGTGAAGTTATATTGGCTTGGTAGAGGGGTGGGAGTTCTCGACGGCGTGGATCCTCCTGGTCTCTGAGATATATTGGGAGTGGCTAGTTTCAAAACACTGTCACGTCTAATCTTAACTCGTCCTCGGTTCGACATCGGTGAAATCGTATGAGTTTTGAAAATAGGAGAGAGAGAGATTTGATATTTTAACAACAAGAAAGAATGAGAGATTCGAGATTCGGGGTTAGGGAGAAGAGAAGAAGAGTTATGGGGTTTGAGATTCACAATCACAAAATTTGGGAATTAGGGTAGTGTATTTAGGGATTTGGTTTAGACACAAAATTTGGGTTTTGGTTTTGGTTTTAGGGGGAAACCAAATTTTGATCAAATTTGGGTTTGGGGAAATTTAATTTTGGTTTTGGTTTTAGGGGGAAACCAAATTTTGATCAAATTTGGGTTTGGGAAAATCTTATTTTGGTTTTAAAATTAGGTTTTGGTTTAGGAAAATTGTTTTCAGATGAAATTTGATATTTAATTTTTAAAAACTTGTTATTAATATATATAGAAGTATAAATAGACTTGCTAAAATTTTAGTTTTGTTTAAGTATTGGTTTTAATATAGTTGAATAATTTTGATTTTTGTTTTAAATTTTGGTGTTGGTTTCCAAACACTTAATAAAATTCTTGATTTTTGTTTAGAATAAAAATATTAGATCTTAATATTTCACAAAGTTAAAACATTTATTACACAAAGTGATAGCAAAATTAGTAAATTTCATCTTCACTATCATCATCATCAGAAGATGATTTATTACATTGAAATTCATCTTCATCTTCTGCATCTCCAACATCGTAATCGAGATCTATTGGGTTTACCTCTTGTACAAAATTTCCGACTTCAATATTGTCAATTGTAGTCAAAAGTACAGCATCATCATTTTCTTGTTGCAAAACAATCGGTTCCTTATTTTTGTATTCTCCAGAAATATTTTCCCTCGGATTCACCTTTACAACATTGGGCCACAACTGCTTTGGTTTCTTTGTATATGGCAGGACGTAAAAATCTTGATCCGCTTGAGAAGCTGTGTAATATCAATATACAGAAATACAAATAAATATATATATATATATGATATTGACATTTATGTATACGTACCTAGAATAAATGGTTTGAATTTATTGTATCTTCTTGATGAACGAACGTCAATTCCATTATTGCTCCTTCGAGTGCCTCTACCAATAACAGGATCATACCATGTACACTTAAAAAGTGTGATTTTCAAACCGACTAACCCCTCATATTCAAGTTGTATGATATCAGTTAAGGTCCCGTAGAAATCAGCTTCATCGGATGCATTAGTATAATTCTCTCCTTTAACACATACGCCATAGTTACATGTTTTTCGTCCCTCGCCGTGATTTTGCGTATGAAACAAATATCCTCTTGTGAAATAGATAGGCCAGGTTTTGGCCTTGTTCACGGGACCATGCACTATCTCTTGAACCCAAGCAGGAAAAGAATTTGTGGCGTTCCACTAATTGACCTGCATTTAGCTATACATTATCAATATATAGAAGTATAAATACATACAAATATATTATATATACATGGATGTGAATATTATTTAGACATACATAATCTTTTACCCATGCACTATATTCGTCAGCTCTTTTCGTGGAGAGTTCTTTTTTGGAGAGTTCTGGATATTTTGCAGAAATATAAGCTTCGAAGATACTGTATAAGACCAACACGTATGAAAAATCATCATAGTGGATTATAGTAAAACGTAAGTGAAAACATGCCAAATTATACCTCTCAAATGGCTGAAAATAATCATAATTTCGCAAAACATATGCATGTGCGCATCGATGGTCGTTCTCTGAAAGCCATATTTCATGCATTTCCCCACTTGGTCGACCTATGTGAGTAAATATATCAGGTACTCCAGGGACATGATATACGGGAACTTCACCTTCGTCAAATCTTGTTAGCCTAACCAAATGAGTGAAAAGTCATTCACATTAGAATTATACCATGTGTCTTGAAATTTGATTAATTTAAACATTTACCTTGATTTCGTTAGTATATGTGTGGCAAAGTAGTGCTCTGAGAAATAAGCTACCTCATCATTGATATATGATTCAACAATCGATCCTGCCGCATATCTTTTGTTCTTTGCTTTCCCTTTCAATTTCTTGAAAAATCTTTTAAAAGGATACATCCACCTATATTGCACAGGGCCTCCTAGTTGAGCTTTGTAGGGGAGATGTATAGGTAGGTGCTCCATCACGTCAAAGAATGATGGTGGAAAGATCTTTTCCAAATTGCATATGATTAAAACTATATTCTGTTTCAGAAGTTGGACGTGACTTTTTTGCAAAGTTCTCGAACATAAGTCATGGAAAAATCCTCCTACTCCTACATTATATATTCAAACAGCAAGTTAATGGTTGTTTTAATATGATATTAGGTATATTTAAATGTTGCATCTTTCATAGAGCTATAAGTAATTGGTACCTGATAATGCAAGGTGGACGTTCCGGTCTAGGAGTTCTGCAAAGATAAATGGTAGTAGACGCTCCATAAAAACATGGCAATCATGGCTCTTCATGCCTGAAAACTTTTCGTTAACCATATCAGCACAACTAGCTAAGTCTAACGCATAACCATCTGGGAATTTAACCGTATGTCTCACACATTCCAATAAACTTGTTCTGGCTTCTTCTGTCAATGTGAATGCGGGGAAAAGAGCTTTACCATCACTATCAATATGTAAGTCTGGTCGAGAACAGAATCGTTCTATATCCCTTCTTGACATGATGGTGTCTTTTGATTTACCTTTCACACTCATAAGAGTATTCATGATGTTGTAAAAAAAATTCTTCTCTATATGCATCACATCAAGATTATGTCGGAGATTGAGGTTCTTCCAGTACGGCAGTTCCCTGAATATGCTTTCCTTATGCTAGTTATGCCAATTCCCATAACCTGATTTTTTCTTTTCATGACCATTTCCACCACAGTTTTTTGTTTTTGGTGGATTAACACCATCTAACCGCTCGTAGTAAACTTGCTCACCTGTCAAAGACTGAGGTGGAACCTTATTCAAAGCGTGTTTTCCTTTCAAGAAGTCCTTTTTATTCTTCCTCAGTGGATGATCTTGAGGAAGAAATCTCCGATGACAAACAAACCAACACGTCTTCCTTCCATTAGGGAGATGAAATGATTATGTATCTTCCATGCAAATTGGACAAGACAATTTACCATGAGTCGTCGATCCTGATAACATGCCATAAGCCGGAAAGTCGATTATCATCCACATAAGCACTGCTTTCAGGTTAAAAATTTTATTCAAGGGTACATCATATGCATCGACTCCAATAGACCACAATTCTTTTAACTCGTCAATAAGAGGTCGGAGGAAGATATCTAGACTAGCTCGCGGATGATTTGGCCCAGAATTCAGAATTTTTAGAAACAAATACTCTGTATTCATGCACATACCAGGGGGTAAATTATATGGAGTCAAGATCACATGCCACAATGAATGATTACGAGACATGCCAAAAGGATTGAATCCATCTGTACATAATCCAAGATAAATATTACGGGGTTCTTCGGCAAACTGAAGATGTAGGTCTTGAAAATATTTCCACTCTGCTGCATCAGACGGATGACATATTTCTCCCTCCTTTGCTTTGTGCCATCTCATTGCCGCTGCGGTCTTCTCGCTCTGATACATTCTTTTCAATCTGTCAGTAATTGGTAGATACCACATACGACTAAATGGAACTTTGATTCTCCGTCGTCCGTTGTTCGGCTTCCATCTTGGTGCATCACAGAACTGACACGTATCCCACTTTTCATCTTCTTTCCAGAAGATCATACAATTATTAATACAAACATCAATTGTATAATATGGTAGGCCTAAATTGCGCATAAATATTTCTGTCTCGTAATGTGAACCGGTTGATTGGTTTTCGTCTGGTAAATACTCTGTCAACATATCGCAAATTGAATCCACGCACTTTTCACTCATGTTATAATCTGTCTTATTTTGCATGACTCGAGCAGCTAAGGATAACTGCGAATGACCTTCGTGACAACCATCGTATAATTGATTTTTCGCTCCTTCTAACAAGTCGTAGAATTTTTGGGAATGGTTATGTATCGGTTCTTCTACATTTTGATAATTATCATACTGATGATAGTTATCAAAATGCTCGGTATCACGAAATGCATCATTCACCATATCTACATATCTATCTTCTACTACATTACCTACTTCTTCACTCCCACTTATTTGGGTTGTATTAGCATAACTCGTTCCTAAATCCATATTGATTTCTTCTCCATGCTTATACCAAACAAAATAATCTGGCATAAACTCTCTACTATACAGATGATTCCAAATTGTTTTCCCGAAGATAAATTTGTCGTTTTTGCAACCACTACAAGGACAGTGAAACTTACCCCTATTGCTGCGCTAGAGGCTGGTTATTTACAAATGCCATAAATTGATCGACCCCCGCTGTGAACTCTGCCAAAAAGTTTCCTGTCTCTTCATCTATCCTCTTATACATCCACTCCCGACCATTACTATAATTGTAATTGTCCGACATTATATGAAAAAAGATAAAACTTTATCACTCGTTTTTTTTTGGCAAATCACTCACAGAAAAAAGTTCTCTCTTTTTCTTAATCTTTTTTTCTCTACTAAAAAAATAAACTCAAACTCGTTTTCCTAATTTTTTTTATCAGACACTTTCTTTGAGATTCTTTGCAATGAGAACGGTCGATGGTATATATATATAGAAATATTTACGACTACAAAGCGACTATATTTCAACTACAAGGAAAAATCACACCCACCACATAACGCAGAAAACGTGTTTTACCAGTTTTTATGTCGGCAAAGGTTACGACTATTTTGTGACTATATTACGACCACATACAGATTTAGTCACAAATTAGTCGCAAACTCTGCCGACATACCATGTAGTCGTAATATAGTCGCAAAGTTACGAATATTTTGCGTCTAATATATAGCGACCATATTCTGTTAGTCACAAATTAGTCGCAAACTCTGCCGACATACCATGTAGTCTTATAATAGTGGCAAATTTACGACTATTTTGTGACTAAAATTTAGCAA